AGGAAAATAAGTAGGAAGGATCCCACGTCCGAGGGCAATGGTCTCACCAGCCCACGAGTTACTACCGTTTAAGGTCTTACAGAACCTGAAGCGTTTTCATCTACTTTTACAGAATCTAAGATTTATAGCAAAACTTTTATGGAACAGATTTTCTATAAATAAAAATTTCTGGATTTAGTTGCATTGTGGTTACTGGTAGTAATGCAAATATCTTTAAAAAGCCATCGCGTACAATGAACTATGATAAATTTTCATAATTTGGACATGATTCTTCAGCTCCTTGCCTTTGTGTGACTTTACCTTTGGTTCTATTTTTAGTGAGAGTGCGTATGTTTGTCCCATCTTTATTTCAAAATTTTATCTTTGGTGGTCTTCATGACCCAGATCGCGCGGTTACTAAACATATTTCACTTTCAACCTTTGGCATTTAAACAGTGACGACACTAAAAAACTGAAAGATCATATAAATTATAATGTAAACAAAATCTTTAAGGATATTTTCAATAATTAAATCGAAAATTTTCAAAGAAAATCTGTTTAAAAAAATAAACTTCGTATGTATTTAAACTTTAACATTTTCATAAATCTTGAAACATGTGATTGTAGGAGATAATAACTAGCCTAATAAACATAATTTTAGGGTCGGTGGCCGCAACGGTTAAGGCGTTCACACGGCGCTCATCTCTGTAACGTAAGGTCCCGGGTTCGAATCCAGCGGCCCTGCATTCGAATCCGACCGGTTCAGTTTTGCAAGTTAAGCCAAATCAAACTTGTTGGAACACACAAACGAATTCAACTTTTCCAAAACAAAATTTCAATATTGCCAACTCAAACTCAATCTTTTTTTAGTTCATATTGAATTTTTTTACAAGCGAAATGAAACAATTCTCAACCATATTATATGGTTGATGATATAATTAATACTATAAACAATATATAACAAGAATATTTTCAAATCATTAAGCCAAAATGTTTCATATAAAATCTGTTAGAAAAGAAACTTCGAATGAATTTATACTTAACATTTTCATAAACCTTGAAACATGTGATTGTAAGAAATAGTAACTAGCTCAATAAACATAATCTTTAGAATTTCTTAGTAGGACATATCACATGACAATATAATAGTTAAATTTTACAAGTTAAGCCAAATCAAACTTGTTGGTATTGAACATAAACTAATTGAACTTTTTAAAAACCAATGCTTTTTCAAAACACAATTTCAATATTGCCGACACAAATTCAGCCTTTTTTCCATTTCATATAAACTTTTTTACAACCCAAATGAAACAATTCTCACGACATATTATATGATTGGTGATATAATTTGTTTATGTATTATGTAATAATTCAACACATCCAAAATAATAATAATATGTACATTATTGATTTTATTTTCGCGCGTGTTAAATGAACATATGTACCAACTATCAATAAATATAATAGCATATTTCCTGTGATGGTCGAAACGGCCAACAAAATAGTTTCTGTGAATGAAATTGCCTGTGACATAACATGGAGAGCCATGCAGTAAATTATTTTCTTTTAAGACTATAAGTCGGTAGGCGTCTGTCGTAATCGGTCATCCTGAGCGTTCCTCTTCTTTCAGAGGAAATCTCCAAAACCTGTCAAACCACATCGGGGACATTCGCTCTCGACCGGATTTTCTTCAAATACCGACAATTTCTTTCGAGCTTTATACAGACAAAATGACTGATTTTGATCTAATTATAATAGATAATTAATATTCCAACAAACTTTATAATACAATGCGATCGACAATAAGTAACATACTTGATGTAAGGATGACCACGATTTCAAGAGTTCGCCTGTTATGTTGTTACATGTTGTTTAATGTTCAAACTGCGAATTGGCTCAATTTCTCTTTACGATTAATATATACTCGGTTATTTTTGTTAACTTTAAATTGTAATAATTATAAATTATAATGAGTTTTCCAGACTACGAGTTGAATGTAAACAGTATACTTTTTCCACATCGAAAAAAACTTTTTCCAAACTGAATTCAAAACTCTACTTTTTATCATTCAATATTTTCTAAACGAATTTTTTTTTTAAATCAACTTTTTCTACTTCGAATTCAACATTTTTATCTGAGATACAAAATAGGTAAACAGAAGTAATAATGCTTGAAATTTTATAAAGTTGTATGGATAAATTCATAGTTATTTTTATTCAATTAATTAATTTTAATTTATGTAACGTTTTGGTTGAAATGAAAAAAGTTAATGCCACGAGCGGGATTCGAACCCACGACCTTCGGCTAAATAAGCCGCTGCTCTACGACGAGAGCTATCGTGACTTCGATCCACTCGGACACCAACTCCCCATCTCAACCTAAAACCTTTCGAATTTTCCCTCCTTTTTGCCATTTTTCAATTCGAATGATAGTGAATTTAATGAATTAAAATGAGGTATACTTTACTAAAGCTCTCCGGGGTCATTTCACTTGTCGCCGAAAATCAAATAGATTACACGATTACATTTGAAAAATGACAAAAAGGAGGGAAAATTCAAAAAGTAGGTTGAGATGGGAAATTAGTGCCCGAGGGGATCGAAGTCACGATAGCCCAAATGGTAGAATAGCAGCGTTTGAAGCCGAAGGTCGTGGGTTCGAATCCCGTTCATGACTCTGACTTTTTTATCTCAACTTAAAACCTTAATTAATTAAATGTTATTTTTAATATTTATAAGTATTTTATTACGTGTGGTGATTAGTGACCATTAATCGATAATTATTCAGAAATCGTGAGATGCGGTCTGGTGTGATGTAGGTTTCAGAAAAACATTTTCTTTATCGTGCCAACGTTTCGATCTTTATTGAGATCATCTTCAGGGCTCAAAGTGTTTGTCTTCTGTGTAATTGTGCCATTCTTGCGAGTGCCTTCTCAACACGACACGCAAGAATTGCACAATTATACAGAAGACAAACACTTTGAGCCCTGAAGATGATCTCAATAAAGATCGAAATGTTGGCACGATAAAGAAAATGTTTTTCTGAAACCTACATCACACCAGACCGCATCTCACGATTCCTGAATAAGTTTTTATTACTATCTGTTATGAATATATAGGTAAACATATATTATGGGTAAACATAAATAATAATATTTAAACTTTTATAAAGTAATACACATAAATGCGTAGTTCTTTTTATTATTTATAAGTGTTTTATTACTATCTGCTATTTAAAATTACAACATGTAATTAAAGGATATGCATATTTACATAGTTGACTTGTATTGAGAGCGATGTTATCTTCATTATCTTCATTTTTTGATATTTGTGTAATTGCTTATTCTAATAAATCAAATTGTAATACTAATATTCATAAATAAAATATAAATTTTGTATTAATAAAATTTTCGTCGCTTAACGCTATCAAAAAATTGAACTTTTTGAAGCAACTAGTTCGACTGTCCAGAGAGACATTTAAAAATAACTAATTTCTTTTTTTTTATTAAAAACTAATAGTAATATTCCGCTATTAAAAAAACGGTAATTTAGTTACATCAAACCTGTTATAAAATCCGGCTGTGCGTCCAGGGTTACTAATTACCGCCCACTAACTTTCTGAATATTTTGTCTATGATATCATTACCTCTCTTTGTTATAAATTTACAATAGCAGAACAGCATGGTTTTCATCTAACGAATAAACAACCACAAAGGTACGTGCAATTTGTTTTATAATTAAATCTAACCCTTTTTCCCATAAGAATCAAGTTGACATTATATCAACGGATATCAGGACCTTCATTTGAATGCGTGCTTAATTTGCTTTGTCCAAATGTTCGAGGTCTTCATCTAACGTAGTTTCATAGTTATTTGGTATGGATGGCAGCATTGAGTACAAATTAATAATTCTTTGAATACATTTTCGACACAAAATCTTCCAGTGTCCCAGGGCACTCATTTAGGTCCGTGTTCATTATTAATGAAATTCACCCTCATAATATAAACTTCTTGTCCTTTGGTGACTTCGTCGTAATGTCACATAATTAATAATGATACGTTATAATACTTTGCATTTTCTGTTTAATAGGTTTGTGTTTAATATCTGAACTTAATTTTAATGAATGTTTTGCCACATAATTTATATGTAAAAAAGGAGGTTTGGAGAATGTTGTAATAGAAAAAAATTCGAATTGTTTTGGAAAAAGTGCGATTTGATTTGGAAAAAGTTCCCAATGATTTGGCAAAATATTCAATTTTGTTTCAAAAAGTTCGATTTGGTTTGGAAAAAGTTTGAATTAATTTGGAAACGTTCAATTTGATTTAGAAAAAAATTTAACTGATTTAGAAAAAGTTCAATTCGGTTAGGAAAAAACTCGATTTGATTTGCAAAAATATTTAATTTGATTTTTAAAAAATTCTCTTTCAGTTGGAAAAATATTCAGTGGTTTGAAAAAATTTCAATTTAATTTGGAAAAAGTTCAATTTGGTTTGGAAAAGGTTGAATTTTGTTCGGAAAAAGTTCGATTTGATTTGGGAAATGTTCGAATGGATTCGAAAAAAGGGCAATTTAGTTTGGAAAGTCAGAATTAATTTGGAAAGTTAGTATTAATTGGTTTAGAAAAATTGCTAATTGTTTTAGAAAAAGTTCAATTTGGTTAGGAAAAAGCTCGATTTGATTTGGAAAAATACTCACTTTGAATTAGAAAAAAATCTATTTGATTTGGAAAAATATTCAGTGGTTTGAAAAAAAATTCAATTAATTTGGAAAAAGTTCAATTTAGTTTTTAAAAAGTTCAATTCGGTTTGTAAAAAGTTCAATTTGGTTGGGAAAGAGTTCAATTTGATTTGGAAAAAGTTCGAATTGATTTGCAAAAAGTTCAATTTGGTTTGGAAAAAGTTCGAATTAATATGTACAAGTTTAATTGGTGTACAAAAAATTGTAATTGATTTGGAAATTGGCTTTTTGCCTGTCCATTTTGATATAAAAAAGCATAAATAAAAACATACTTGTCGTTTGTTACAGAAATGCCAACGTGTCTGTCCTACACGTGAGGAGTGTTTCGGAGCCATGGGAAGTTAAAAGCAGTGTGTATTCAGCCCCGAATTACGGATACGATAATTATGCAACCAACTCTTACAACAGAAGAATAGGAAGAGCTGGGAGCTTAGGCATAAATGAAAGTAGCAGAGAATTGTCTCCCGTTCGATGGCATGACAGAGAGGTTGACGGTGTCTTTCTGGGACGATCCGGATGGGTTCAAGTACAACAGGGTGCTCAAATCAATAGGGAACCTCCGGTTGACTCTCATCCACAGCAACATGTTACTAGAATTAAAATGGCGGACTACCACTGTAGCAAAAGTGAACCGGGAAAATTACAACTTGAACCACAAAGACCCGGCTATTTGCCTCTTCCGGGAGTGTCAGGGAGAAGAGGGAGGGCATCTCCGTCGTCTTTGGATTTAACACGAGAAGAACCTATCACACCACCTCCACCGACGCCGATATTATCACCTCCACCAGCATTTCAGGACATAAAGTACAGATCATCCCCTAGACGAGCACAACCGTTTCTTTCAAGAAGCAATGCCATAGAATTATCCCCTCCTCCATCACCACCTACATACAGGTTATCACCATGTACTTCAATGTCTAGAAAAAAGCTGACACCTTCACCTGTAAACTTCCCTCAGACAAAATCTTTGGAAGAAAGCGTAAATAGGCGGATTATGTTCCAAAAGCACGATTCGTCTTCGTCTTCTTCTAGCAGTTTCGGCTTTCGATCGTTGGACAGCGGTTTGATACAACATCCAGTCGTGATGCCGAAGTTGAAAGAGCTGACCGACTCATCCCTCGGTGGTTACGAAGACGGAGACGAAGAATCTCTAACCATGAGCGACTACTCTACGCTGACACTCATAAATTCGCCGGACATCGACAGAATCTCGCCTTCCAGCAAAAGTAAACAGAGAATCAGAAGATCCCCTGGCTCCGACGTCAAAAACGGGTCTCCTTGCTCGTCGTCTTCTTCGAACGATTCAGGTCCTTTCAGGAGAACAGGTTCCTCACAGAGTACCCACAGGGGAAGATCACCGCGTTCACTAATGATGGATCAGCAAATGAACAACGGCCGCCAAAACAGCAGAGAATCCAGAGAAAACAGGGAAAGCAAAGAGAGCAGGGTTCGGCGGTCGAGAAGTCTGCAACTTCCTGAAAGATGTTCACCGTGCCATCCCGGACCAACTGTCCTGCTACCCACCATGACAAGTGGTCGACCCTTGCGACAATCCTTCCATCCTAGTAAGCTATTATTAATTTTATAATTGCCGATCCAGTTGTACGTTTTCATGTTTGTTAGTTTTATTTGAATTTAATGTCATAAAAATTATTGCTGAAATCCCATAGAAAAAAAATCGTATGAAGTTCCTTCAGTTCAGGCTCCAACGTTCCTCACTTAGGCTTCTATAGAAGTTTTAAATATATATGTAAACAATGCATGAAAACTTTCGACGATTGTTAGATTACAATTCAATAAAAGTGTTTTGATGTTCTTCAAAAAACAATTGATGTTAACTTAATACTATAACTCTGTATTAGACCACAAAGTTTAACACAATTTAGACTGTAGTTTGGTCGTCTCTAATCACATGAACTACAGTTCACCGCCTCGCAGACCACACAGTACCACAACGGTTCACTGTTAAATGGAAACTAATGATATATTACGAATTCGAGGAATGCCATTGAAATTGCGGATTTATATAAGTTTCAGCTGAGTTTTGGGTAAATTATATCTCTCTGTTGAATATGTTTAATAAAAAAAAAATATGAAAAGATTGTTTAACAAGGCCAGCCAACCTTCATCAAAGCTTTCCCTTTCTAATTAATTTATTAATTTTAAGCATTAAATCCATTATATTGAGTGGTCTGATTGACCAAATTACTTCTTTCAATTAATTAAGCTTTTTATGTAAGGTTTTGGTTGAAATGAAAAAGTTAGTGTCACGAGCGGGATTCGAATCCACGACCTTCGGCTCAATACGCCGTGGCTCTAACCACTTGAGCTATCGTGTTGAGATGGGGAGTTGGCGTCCGAGTGGATCGGAGTCATGATAGTTCAAGTGGTTAGAACAGGGGCGTATTGAGCCGAAGGTCGTGGGTTCAAATCCCGCTCGTGACACTAACTTTTTCATTTCAACCAAACCTTACATAAAAATGTGTAGAGATTAGTGACCGTTAATCGATAGTTATTCAGATATGGCATTCTCAACACGACACCCAAGGATGGCACAATTACACAGAAGACAAACACTTTGAGCCCTGAAGATGATCTCAATAAAAGATCGAAACGTTGGCACGATAAAGAAAATGTTTTTCTGAAACCTACATCACACCCGCCGCATCTCACGATATCTGAATAACTTACATAAAAAGATTAGTTTATGCACTAAGTTCTAATTTGAAAATAATTTGATAGAAGTTCTCTTTTAAAACGTAAAACGTTAAAAAGTCTCTGAAACTTTTGAATTTGCTTTTGTTGGTTCACCTTTATTAATTGTACTCCGTAACCAGTATCTAATAACTGCATCAGCTATATAATCAAACTATTTGTATTCCATTAGCTTTATATTTGATTAGAGAAATGACTAAATTAAATCTTGATTGTTTGTTCATCGGGTCTTTAGTTTTACTCTGCAACTGTTTAGTTTGCTGGTTGGTTGTAACAGAAACTTAATATAATACAACAAACAATTGTTGTACTAGAACTAGTTTACTTCATATCAAATATTTGGCTTTAATCACATTAAATTTTAGGATCTGCACAATCGGAAGACATGGCTATGGACCCTGATTTCCAACGGGAAACCGAGGAGGAAGCGAGGATAGTTGCTGAATTCGTACAAGGCGTCAGAAGCAGAGATGCCGCGAGGTCTCTGCTAAGGCATCGGTACATAGAACAAGACGAAAAGCTAGCGGGTCACGGCCGGCCGCAAATCCAACAGCCAAGTATGCTACTGGCTCGCAACCAAAAAGGAAGGCCTCTGCAAAGAGGAGTTACAACTCCGAGTGGTCGGCTTCAAGCAGCCGGATGCGATTACTGGCTCCATTGTCCTCACACCAAGCCGCCAACAACGCCTCAGATCTCATCGCCTCTGACGAACATGAGGCTTTCACACAGTTATCCAAATCAGAAAGGGGTTTCGACAGCAAGGGAATACTCAACTAGGTATGTCGTAAATAGTATATTGAATTGTTGGGGGTCATGGCAGTACTGGCAGATTCTGATATACTATCTGATTTGTTTCTTTGTTTTGTTTACAATGGTGTACTTACAATATTATTTGTTTTTCATGCCTCGATAATAAAAAAAGAGATGAAATCTGTTATTAAAACGCCAACGAAATCATTTATCGACAGCTTAGATTTGATGTGCTTTTATTCACGCCGAAAAAAAAACATAAATTCTTGCCTAGGTCTGTTCCTAGATAAAAAAAAGTCTTCAATATGACATGGTATCAAGATCTGTTAGTTAAAAGAAAGTCACTGCTGCTAGACACCTTTTCCCGGATAGTAAAAATAAAATCTTTCAAAATGTGGTAATGCTTTCTATAAAAGGCAAGACACAAAGGTGTACTACAGGGGATCACTCTGGGCCCTATCCTTAATCACATTTGCACATAGGTAGAAATCAGATACCCTGCACATTAGCTGACGAAATTTCAATCTTAAGCAGAGATAAAACACAAGGAACTATATTGGAAAAGCTTTCTTTAAATGTTTCTGAATGCAACTGAAATGTCATGAAAGCCATAAAATCAAAACTCGTCACCTTCACATGTCTAAATGAAATGTGACCTTTGTTCAAAACAGTTTGGGCAGAACACTGACTGCACCGATACGTTGATGATGTAGCAAACTGCGTGAGACACTGCATAATCTTCGTAAGACCTAAAAGGTCGCCTAGGTCTGTTCCTAGATACAGAAGTCTTCAATATGGCATGACCTCAAGGTTTGTAGGGTAAAATAAAGTCACTGCTGCTGAGCACCTATTGCAGGATAGTAAAAATAAAATAAAGTCGCAATATTTCAGATCTAAATGTGACAATTCCTTCTGTAAAAAAACTAGACACAAAGATGACACAAGGCTCTATCTTTTACCATTTTCACTTGGGCCGAAATCACGACACGCAGCTAGCAGACGATATTGCAATTGAAAAGAAATCAAAATAAAACACCAGGAGCTTTTTTGTAAAATATTTAATTGCAAGTTTCTGAATATGTGAGGGGAGGATGGTCAATAATAGGTGGTAGCACTCTGAATATGTGCAAATGAAGTATCATGGATGTAAAAAAAAATCACTTTGTATAACACTCCGTCACATTGACGAAGTAACAAAGTATGTGAGACATCGCATAATCTTCGTAAGACCAAAATTGCCTTATAAGTCCCATTTTGTAACGATTCGGCCGATGTGGCAATCCTGCTGCAAATAGCCTCATAAATAGAACCCGCAAAATTGCTTTCTGCGACGAGCGGTCCGTGGTTTGTGAAAAACTCGATTCTTAAGAAATCTTGAGATGGCAAACCACGCACCAAGTCATTGAACGAAGCTCGATTAGTCTACCTAATGTGAAAGACGTCCATAACTGAAAGATACTCGAATAGAATCAAAATTTAATAAAATACAAATTTTGGTATGATTAAAAATCAATAAATGTAAATAAAAATTATTTTTATGTAAGGTCTTGGTTGTGATGGAAAAAAAACAGTGTCGCGCTCATGACACTAGCTTTTTCATCTCAACCAAAACCTTACATAACAAGAATAATTAATTGAAAGAAGTAATTTGGTCAATTAGACCACTAAACATATTGCATTAGTAAATAAAAATGTTATCAAATGAAAAATCCTGTGAAGAGGAAGGTGTGCACCTGATTACTGGTTACAACTTTTCTCTAATTTGTTAGAATTTATCTAAACAGAAATTTATGTTTTAGGTCCTCACCCGCCTCTTTGGAAAAGGTCAACGACGCTTCCCACAGGCAGAGCCGCGGCAACGACTTTAACGTTCTAGGTCAGGAAGACGGTGAATTCATCAGAAGGCAAAGATACAGAAGATCGCAAGATAGGTACCACACCGACCACTCTTAATGTGTATAGATACATGCTAATATTCTCTTCTTCCAGTAACGATGTATGGCACGTGTCAGCGGACCGTAGCCTCACACGTTCGCCGAGAATCAGGTCTTCTGCAGCATCCACTCCCGAAGATAGACCGGGCTCAGCGCCGGCTGCTCAAAGATCCCGTTACCCTTCAGGACGTGTCGATAATACACAAAGGTCTCTTTCTCTTCCCAAGTGTTTCCAAACGAGTCGAGAACTTCCGAGGCTACCTACCAACCATATGTCTGGGATAAATTACAAGTAAGGAATTATTTTTTTAGTAACTTATGTATTTATGTGCCTTCCTGCCTTCCTCATTTATATGAATATGAGTTGAAAATGATTCTGTAGTTTTGTCGTTTCCGATCATTTTAACTGCCTAAACTTTCAGTTTAGGTATCTGAAACGCGTTTCGTCTTCTCTATCTTTAATGGTGTGTCAGGGAAATAAGCGAAGTGAGTCAAGATTCCAACCAACCCCTGAAGATGACGGGAAACAGAAACGATCTGACAAATCAAAATTATGAGCTTCTCGCCATCTTCAATGGTTTCTACAGCCAAGCCCATTTCAGTCACGTCCACTTACGTCCAACCAAAATACGTCCCTCTAGCTATGAATGTGGTTTCCTAGCAATAACTTTTGCATATTCCTTATTAATTAGTGTTCAGCCTTCTGTTCTTGCTGCAAATTAAACGCTGCACATAGGGACAATTGCGCCCAAAAGGGTCTTGAAATTTAGCCCCTGCGATCAAATAGCTCTTAATTACCACCTAGAAATAATTTCTGCATATTCTTTATTAAGTACTGGTAATTCATTCGCCTGATCTTGCTACAACTTAACTTCAAACACTAACATCTTAACATAACTCAGTGTTATTCAATATCTCGTTTGACTCTTCTCTCATGTTTACCAACCATTATAAATTGTTTATACATTTTAAAAGACGTCCATATAGGCACACCAGCGTCCAAATAGCTATTGATTTCTTGATTGAGAACATTTCCGACCAAACGGAATATGTTACTATTGCTAGGCAACTATGTACTAACTATGTAAGGCTAGGCTACTATTGCTAGGCAACTATGTAAGGAATTTGCAGAAGGTATTGCTAGGTACATAGTTGCCTTCTGCAAATTCCTTATTAAGTATCGGTATTTAATCTACTCTATCTGCTCTTGCTACAGCTTGAATTGAAGTACTCAAATCTTAACTTGTACTCAACTTATTCGACCGTTTTGTCCAATTTTTCACCAATTCTAAATTGTATACAATTTAAAAGGCGTCCACACACGTCGCACCTGCGCCCTAATGGGCCTTGACTTCGGGCACTTCCGTACAGATGGAGATACCTCCCTTAAGTATGAAGGTGGCTTCCTACATTTCATTTATTCTATCTGTTCTTGCTAAATCATAAACTCAGGCATTCAAATTTTAACAGGGCCTTAATTTAGGGCATTTCCGTCCTAGTTGGTCTTCATTAGAGGCAACAGCGTCCAACCAGCATACATCGCTTAGGTCTATATAGTTACCTAGCAATAGCTTCTGCATATTTTTTATTAAGTATGGTAGTTCATCAGCTTGATCTTCTTGCTACAACTTAAGCTAAAACACTAAAATCTTAACATAACTCAGCTTTACTCAATATCTAGTTTGACTCTTCTCTCGTGTTTGCCAACCTATTATTAATTGTTTATACATTTGAAAAGACGCCCACATAGGCACACCTGCATCTAGATTGGTCTTGATTTTTTGATTGGAGGCACATCCGTCCAAGTAGAATACGTCCCTCATGCTACGTGATTATTTAGCAATAGCTTCTGCATATTTCTAATTAAGTACATATCCTCATTAAATAATGGTATTTTACCCATTCTATCTGCTCTTTTACAACTTAAACTCAGCCACTCAAATCTTAGCTAGGTCTGGATTTGGGGTAGATCTGTCCATGATTTGAGTCACTTGGATCCAACCAGCAAACATCGCTTACGTCTATGTGGTTATCTATCAATAGGTCCTGCTTATTCCTTATTCGATATCCATATTAAGTATTGGTATTTCAGCCTTATGTTTTTGTTGCAAACACAAAGACTCGACTCTTCACTTGTAACGGCTCACCTTTATTAACTAACTTTTTCGACTCTTCTGTCATATTTGTTACCAAGTATAAATGGGGGGGTCACACAGACGCAGTTGCTACCAGACAAGTCTTGATTTGGGTGCTTCCGTCCAAATGGGTCTTGATTTGAGACACTTGGATCCCAATCCAACCAGTAAACATCGCTTACGTCTATGTGGTTACCTATCAATTCTTGCTGGTTGTTTCTTCTTTTTCTTTATTGGTTCTGCTTATTCCTTATTATCCATATTAAGAATTGGTATTTCAGCCTTATGTTTTGTTACAAACACAACGACACGACGCCGACGCTTAACTTGTACTTTTCACCTTTATTGACTAACTTTTTCGACTCTTCTGTAATGTAACTGCCCCACGTTCAACCATCATACCTCCCTTTCTATGTGTGGTTTTCTAGCAATAACATTTGCTCCTTATTAAGTAGTGGGATTTCACTCAAATTTTAACTTGTTACGAATCAGTTTTATTCGCTGATCGTGTTTTCATATTTGCCATCAATGGGCGCACTCGCGTGGTAATGGGACTTCATCTGGGGCACTTCCATCCAAACGTGAATCCTTTATCTATGAACGTGGTCACCTAGCATAGAATCTGCATATTCCACTAATGCAAGATTGTGAGTAGCGACAGCACGACTTGTAATATTTTATTAAATCCTTCACTTTTGGTATTGTTGAGGTCTCTATACTATTTATGGATAGGATTATTTAGTTAAACTTGGATGCGGTCAATTTATGAGTTGGCCAAAACCCAGAGTGATCACCCCCATATAAAAATGTAATAGTTTCAGTTCCGTATTCTGTGAAATTGCGGATCGACGTGGGAAACGAGTACAGGAAGCCGAGAATTTGAGTTTGAGTAGAATAGGATTCGTGGAAACGGTTTCCAAGGGGACCTGGCAAGGGTCGCCCCCACTCTTTGCTGCGGCCCCACCTGCTTCTCTTCACCACTTCAAACCGACAGTTTCACGTTAGTTGTAACATGTAACAGTTCAGTTTTTAACCGATGACGGGTCGTTTTTGACTTCAACCTCGTTTTTCGTGTAGCTGTTCAATTCTGGCTTAAAATGTGTTATGTGTTCGAAACAACAACGTAGATACTCCTCATGGAGACATTCTTGGTCCTTCACTCGAATCAAAACGTCTCCGGACGGCAATTCGACAGGCACCGAACGAATTAGGTATTTTTCCTCTATTTATTTCATTTATTTTAATATTCAGTCGATTATTTAAAGTCAAAAGTTTAAAGACAAATGGGGAAAGTGTTGGTGCTTCATCTGCTCCCTCTCATATCATCTGTTCTTGTTACAACTTAACAACAAACTTAACTTGAAATGGCTCAGTTTTATCCATATACTTATTAGATTACTATCTCTCATATTTTATACTAAATAACATGTTTGAACACATTTAACCTTTTATTGACAATTTTACTTTTAAGGACAAAATTGGAAAAAACAGGTGTAAATATCTGTATTATTTCAACTACTCCCTGGCCACAGCCATCTGTCTTTGCTACCACTTTAACAAAAAATCCCAAATCTTAAGATAAAAGTACTTAGCTTTATCGCCCTTTATTTTGGAACCTTATCTCATTTTCCTACTAATTATATTGTTTTATGTATTTTAAAGAAGTCTTCTATGGTCAAAACTAACATTTTAACGTTGTAAGGTCAAAATCAAAGAGACAAAGAAAAGTATGCTTGTTGTTCTTGTTACAACTCATATCTTTAGTTAAAAAGACCTAGATCATCTGTTCCTGCTACAATTGAAATTCAAACAACTCAAATTGAAAGTCAAAAACCTGAAACAATTCATTTTTACTCACACACTTATTAGATTACTGGCTCTCATATTTTATACTAAATATAAATAGCGTGTTTGAACACATTTAACCTTTTATTGACAATTTTACGATAGTTTAAGGACAAAATTGACAAAGCCCAGAGAAGTAGACATTTTTGTGTGTCAGTTGTTGCCAACAAAAAATTTCAAAAATAAAAACAAAAGTACTCAGCTTTATTACCATTAATTATTCCGATTCTTCTCTCATTTTTCCTACTAATTATATTAGTAACGTAGAAACCTAACCTTGAATTTTATACAGTTTAAAAGAGGCTTCTATAACTAGGTAACCATTTTAACATTCTAACACCAAAACCAAAGAGACAAAGGAAAATAGTTATTCTTGCTAGAACCCATATCATAACTTAAAAAGACTTAAATCATCTGTTCCTGCTACAACTTAAACTCAAGCACCTCAAATTGAAAGTCAAAAACTTGGAACAACTCAGTTTTATTCACCAACTTGGTTACGGATGTTGTTTTTCTTTTTTTTACTAATAATCAAAAATTGTTTATTCATTCTAAAGAAGCGAATACATTTTAGTTGACTTTTATTGTTATTTGTATAAATATTATAAATATATGCGTTAATTTAAAGTAAGAATTAATTGATGAAACAGAGGAAGTTATTGGTATTTCAGCTTCTCCCTGTCAAAATTTTCTGTTCCTGCTAAAACTTAATCTCAATCAATTCAAAACTTGAAACTTTACTCAGGTTTATTCGCCAACTTTACCCTACGTTTTGTTGAAATTGATCCGAAAATGGAACCCAATTGTTACTTCAACTTAAGTAGTAATATTCGCAGTTAATTCGAAAAATAGTTACGTAATTTTCTGACAGTCAGATAAGGTTTTTTCATTGCTACAGACTTGTTTTCGTAAGTAATTACCTTATTGGGTAATCCTTCTGGACTGTTTCTCGCTGTTATGTTCTTTATATATGCTAAGGTGCTAATATGTGTTCCAGTTTTTTTATACATATTTTTAAAAAAGTACTGACTGAATTTGTATTTTATATAATTGTCAATATTGTACCAGTATTCGTACTTTTAACAGTAGAACTAAATTATTATCTTAACTTCATTCAGGGAGAAGAAGATCAGTTGCACATAGGTTCATACAAGGACTATATAAGTTACTTCCTTCACGTCCAACAGCTAAAATTTAGAGAGGAACTTAAAAAAACGCAATATTGTTTATGTCCCTAGATGACGTAACTTAACAAAGAAATACCAAATTATGGTGCCAGAAAAAGCAACATAGGAAAAAAGATTATCCCAGT